ACCAAATACTTATTTTCCACCATTTTTTGCAAAAAAAAAATTCTTTAAAAGTCAGACAAAATGATTTTCTCAAATTTTTTTTCACATGTTGTCTCTCATAGTTGAGGTCTACCTATGATGTCAATTACAGGCCTCTCTCATCTTTTTAAGTGGGAGAACTTGCACAATTGGTGACTGACTAAATACTTATTTTCCCCACTGTACTTACTCACACACTTAGTGTTGTTTTTATCACACAACTTAAGCCAAATTCACACTCCCTCTGAACTGCCGAACTCGGCATGGATTGTCATAGTTTCATGACAAAAACTACATCACTGGTGATCCCAGCGTCGACTCAGCCGCTCCTTTTGGCACAACTTGCTGGCAGAACATTTTACCCCCTCCCGCTATGACGGTAATGTGTGATTAGTCTGAAGTTTGTGGGCATGTTTGTTTGTGCTCAAAGCACTCAGACGCTGCATTTACTTCAAACACTCAGTTTAAAAAAAAAGACGACTTGCTTGACTGTTACCAGGAAGCAGACTTTTATGTAAATAGTCAAACCGTGAAAAACCCATGAATGGAGATAAAACAGATGTTGTGCACGGAGGAATATGACTGATAAAAACTGTGGAGCGTTAACTGCGACAGATTTGTGGATAATAACRTCGGGTTTGTGACGAGTCTTTGACTTTTTTCTGCACCGTAGACTCCAGCGGTAAGAAACTCCATGCAGTGASGTATGCTGCAATGGGAGGGGTTTCCCCAGGCATCGACTGCTCTGCTTTGGAACGAGTATGTTCCAGGCTTTTCATACTGGTAGGGTTAGGGTTAGGGTAACCACAATGATTAGTCAGCACGAGTAACRTTAACCAAAATATACCTCCTTCTGCATCTGTAACATGACAGATTATCATAGATTACGGTAAACATATTTTGCAAAGGGATTATAATTATACCTGTTGTTAACCCTGGACGTGTTCAGTACATGCATTTTTCATTCCAGTGCAGAAACGTCAAAGACATGCAGCACATTGTGCGTTGTCGTCTTTTCTGTTTAGTTTTAAATGACCCACGCTTTTCACATATTCTGTCATGTTCTGACTGGTTCATTTTGGGACTCCGTCTCCTTCTACAGTAGGGCTGCGYGGTATATGYGGTAGAYGGTAGAAACSGTATGAAGTTGGCCTATGGTAGAAATTTACGCTCTACTGTCATATCGTCATTACGTCATCACACCTGTGTCAACAGGGCTGCGAGTGCAGAGACAGCTGAGCAGGAGAAGTTCGAAATATAATGAAGAAATTCTAGCATTTTAAAACACGTATAGAGAGGATAAATCCTCAAAATATCCCTCTCCCGCTGTAGAAAAGTTACGTCATGTCGCAGGATCATAATCTCTTCCTCTCCTCTCCTCTCGCTGCACGTCGCGCAGARCGCTTTAACAACTGTAGTTTTTCCACACCCAATTGTCGGAGAAAAAACTTGTTTTTTAAAGTATTGTTACTCACAGAGATGATTATAAAAAAGAGGTGGACATTCGTTTAGCCATAATCCATCTTGCTAATGTAAAGTCGGCTTCTGCTCTGATGATGAAGATGA